AATGATAATGAAAACCCCAGTTTAGGCAAATTCCCGTCTGTTTAGTTAAGATAATTTTAGTTTACTACTTTTTTTTTTCCTTTTTGGCAGTTGTGTGTGCACAATTAGCTGCAATCTTGGCTTAAAAAAAAAAAAATAAAGCACCCTAATTAGCATATTAAGCCTCCTCATTTCCCAATACTGTATAATGTTGTGAAAGCTAATCTATAATGTATTGGATGTTATGCAAATTCTCAGTACTCCGGATAGGGTTTACAAAGGCATGCAAATTAAAAATAGTGTTTGAAATAGGACTGGGGGGAGGGGAAAATTTGCACAATAAAATATGCAGGTAGGAGGAAAGGTGTTTATAACCTTCTTCCTATTGTTTGTGTATTCTCAGCTGCACAATGCTTTTCAAAGCTGAGAGATGTATTACATAAAATCTCTCCAAACTGAATAGTTTTTAAATGAAATTTAAAATGAGAGTACTGTTCTCTGAGCAGTAATTCACCCTGCTCTCTACTGGGGCTTGTAACGGGAAGGTAAAGGCACTGAGCTTTCACTGGCTGGCTTTGCAGGCGTGCATGGCTGCTCGTAGCGTGTTCGTCTGGGGGTCACCGGAGGTCTTGGCACAGCCCAGCAGCCCAAGAGGGTCCATGATGGTGGCTTGGCCAGGACCTGGCTGCTCCCTGTTGGTGTAACTGAGTGGGGCAGGTGCGTTACCTGCACCCCCAGGGTGTTGGCAGTGTCTTGGATCGTGCTTTGATCTCGTTAATGTTTTACAGCCCTACCTGTACGAGGATGCAGGTGCAGCTGCAGCACAGTTGGCTTTTTAGGATGCCCCTGGCTCCTGGTGGAGGAGCTCTGCCTATTGCCAGTGCTGGGCCTGCAAACACAGTCTGTCTCATGTGGTTTGTCACTGCCATCCATTGGCTGTGTCCAGCTGAGTGTGTACAACCAGCCCTGATTGATACTTAATTAGATTACAGCTGCCGCTTTAAAAAAGCCATTTTATAAAAATAAAGTCTTGGCTGGTGTCAAACTGAGCCTTGTGCAGGCCAGGAGTAAGTGGTGCTGTCTCTGCTTGGACAGCTGAGAGGCAGTGCTGGCAGTGCTGTTGCTGGGACCAGTGGTTGTCCCCACCTGGGTGGCTTTTCTCTGCTCTTGCCTCCCTGCTGGCCTGGGTAACACTACATAGGGTCATGTCGGAGCAGCCTGTAGAGCATTCAGCTCAGGAGTTCTTGAATACGATTTTTCTCATGATACCCCATGAGCTTCCTGGGCTCACCTGCCACTCTCCTGCCAAAGGACACGGAGCATCTCTGAGAGCTCTTCCCAACATCAGCCAGCAACAGTCCCACAGCCACCTCAAAAGCAGCTTTTTGGCAGATGAGGGAACAGGGCTTTTCTTTACCAGCTACTTCTTCCAGCATCTTGCCCTGCCGCAGACATAGCAGCGCTCAGTCATTCCTGTTGCTCAGAGTTGTGAGCCCTCCCAGTCTGGGGATGTTTCCCTAAATGACACTGTGCAATTTAGCTTATCTTTAAGATGTTTTGTATAGGTCTTACTCCTCTTTCTCCTGAGTCTCTTCTGCTCTGCAGACAGTCAGGCACTTAGGGCAGGGGTAGGAGGCAGGGAGCAGCAAGTGCCAGACATGAGGCAGACATGGGCTGAGCTCCTGCGTCTCCTCTGCTGACAACAGGCCTTGAATGGACCCAGAGCAGGCTGTGCATGTGTCTGCCTGGTGTCATCCTGTGCAAAGTGGCAGAGCTTTGCTGAGGATAAGGACACAGCCCTGTGTGGCCGTGGAGCAGGAGCTGTTCAAGCAGGAGCTGGAACTGAAGATGTTCCTTACACAAGGAGCCTGTCTCATGGAAACAGGAAGGAAAAAAAAATCAAATCATCACATAAGGAGGAAGTGGAAATAACAAAGCCTAACTGAGAGCTCCTCAGGTGCTGCTTCCCATGCGGAAGGGGCAGATGAGCTCAGCTTCTCGGGCTGTGGGCTCTTGGCAGCACCAGTCAGCAACTCCATTTATCCTGCCAACATTTCCCACCCTGGGCACTTTCAGCCAGCATTCCCATATTCATTAATTTGCTTCGTAGAGGTCTGCATTTGCTTCTTTTCTGCTGCAGTTCCCTGGACTGGGGGAGTTGGAGATGCAGCAGCTCTGGGGTGTGCAGCCGAGCACGATGCCTCTGAGCACAACCCCTGCAGCGCCAGCCATGAGAGCTGGAGAAGCCAGTGCCAGCAGGGAAGTGGCTGTGACAGCTGGCAAAATCCCCCTCCATGGATCCAGCCTGGGGGTTTTTGCTTTTCAGTTGTGCAGAAACTCGCCAGGCATGGGGGCTGCCAGGGATCAGGGGCTACAAGCATTGTTCGGCCGTGAGAAGTCACAGTGGCTGGTCTGTTAGTGCAATAGGGGGGTACTGCTGGATCAAACCCACACAAATCTGTAAAGCTACTGCAAGTGCCTGTGGGGCACCAAAGTGGGAGATTGGCCTTGCTTTGTTTCTACTGCCTTCATTTAACAGTGAGTGCCGATTACTCAAAGCGATATGGGCAGGACCTGGTAATGTAGAGATGCTCTAGTTTTAACTTTAAGGGGATGATCCAGTTGCCTGCAGTGTAAATACTTTGTGGCCAGGAACCCTGCTTTATCGCTTTGTATAGTTTTGAAGTAGTTTAAAGATTGAATAACATAAAATAACATAATATAATGTTATTTATGTTATTTCCCACGTGAAGAACTCCTGTAAACCTTGCAGTATTGAAACTCAGTGAACAAGGCATCTTAGACAAGCTGAAAAACAAATGGTGGTACGATAAGGGTGAATGTGGAGCCAAGGACTCCGGAAGTAAGGTCAGTCACTGAAGGTCTTTTTGTACTGATTAGCAATCACATTTTGACCCACTGTTTGTTTATACCAAGAATGACTTTCAAAAATTGCTATTTACATTTTGAAGGATGAAAGAAAAGAATAGAAAAAAATAAGTAAGTCTCAGAACATGACAGCATATTTCTAATATGCAGTAACAGGCTGTAGTTGTAAGTATGTTTCACTGTGTGAGTATTTTGCTAGAAACATGCTAAGAGAAGCCCCCAAAGCCTTTCAAGCTGGTGTCTTCATTTAAATGTGCAAGTTTCAGCACAGTCACTGTCTATTATTCAGGCCAGCATATTTTCTTATTTTTATTGAAAAAACACATTTTTGTTTCAAAATTATTACTTAGGTTCTCTACATGTCAGTTTGGGAAACAGTCACATGCTTGCTAAGGGCACAAATTTTCAGGACAGACAGCTGATAAGGAAAAAGTGCCTTTCCTGCCCTAATTGCCAATTCATTTTGAAATTGGTTGGATTAAAAAAAAAAAAAAAAATCTAGAAATACTAATGGTTAATCATTACCTAAATATTGTATATTCCTTTTTATACTGCTTTGAACCATTTTGCTGCTGTACTGTCCTGTCGTCCACCAGTCATGCTATGGGGCTGCCCAGCCTCATGCAGGACCACTGTAGACCCTAGGGCAGGTCCCACCCCTGAGGTCAATTGGCCCAGTAGCTGCACACTTAAATTGTAGGGAATATTTATTTACACCATTCAGTCAAAAGGAGGATTTTTTTTTTTTTTTATGCTTATAGACCCACTGGGGAGAAAAACTCTGTAAAATGCTGGGCTTGTTGAAGTGAAGGACATTTTCAAAGGCACCAAGAGGAGGAGGAATCCAGTTCCAGCTGAAATCGGTCGCAGTTGAGTGCCTAACTCCCTTGGTGCCTTTGGAAGTGCTCTCTGTAATCATTCAGACAGAAAACTATAATTTCAAAGCACCCTTTCAGTGTCAGAGGACATCAAGATTCAGTGAAGCCAATAATAAAATTTCATTGATTTCAGTAGGGCTGGAAGTTGCTTAGGGCACAACCCAGTAGCTGTCGTAGTAGATAAATTTGGGATCATGGGATATCTGAACACACAGAAGCTGCCAGAGGAACTGTGATTGAAAAGACGTATAAATGATTAAGATCTTTAGTTTAAATGGCAGGTTGTTTGCTACAACCACACATACCAAACTGCTTGTGAAACACGCATACCAGGTAGATGATGTTTTACTCTGATTATATGCAAATTTAGCTCTCCCTAGAGAGATTCGTTAACCAAGCTGTGTCAGCAGCGTCTTCTCTGGGCACAGACAAATTTCTCTGGCACCTGCCCATCCACCCAGCCAGTGTGGCGTGGCAGCCCAGCCAGCTGTGCCAGCCAGGAGCTGTTCCTCCCCACAGCCACCCACCCATGCAGCAGCAGAAGGGTTGCAGCTCTACTTAATCCCATTCCAGAACCCTGTTCTAAAAAATGCAAGCTTCTCCCCATCTGACATGTATTGAAGGAACATAAACCCTGACCAGTGATTTTTGTGTCACAATATCTGGTTTCATTCAATAACTCACTCTACAGAAGGTGCTAGTTTATTTAGCTCAGGGCTCTGCTATTTGACCTCTAAGTAACTGACCATCTTTCTATGGTGGGCTTTTTTCCTTAACTGTTGTAAAAAGGTAGTTAAGTTTAGCAGCATCTCAAGAATTTTACCTACATTGGCCAAACCCAAGTCTGTAGTGGTTTGGCTTTTTCTTTTCTAGTTTTGACATGGCCTTCTGTAAATCCTGCTGTTTTATGCAGCCACCGGCAAACTTTCCCCCAGTGCCTTTGCTACCAGGGATGCTTGGCTGTAGGCAATCTTGCTCTGGGACACCGAAGGCCTGGGGAAGTCAGTGGCCAAAAAAACCTCATTGCCTTGGAGTCAGCCAGGGTTTCACCCACTACAGGGTGGAGGACAGAGCAGTCACTGCTGTGCAGCCCCAGGCTGTGGGGATGGGGGGACAGCACTGGTCCATGGGCCAGACACTGAACACCGTGAGTGTAGCTATTCCAGCTAGGGCTAATGCAAAGTAGCCTGTTGTCTGTCTGTCTGTCTATCTGCTCCTCACAGCAGAACTAACGGCGTGGCTCGTTTCTCTTAGGACAAGACAAGCGCTCTGAGCCTGAGCAATGTTGCTGGCGTGTTCTATATCCTTGTGGGAGGCCTGGGGCTGGCCATGATGGTGGCACTGATTGAGTTCTGCTACAAGTCTCGGGCTGAGTCCAAGCGAATGAAACTCACCAAGAACACGCAGAACTTCAAACCTGCTCCCACCACCAACACCCAGAATTACGCTACCTACAGAGAAGGCTACAACGTGTACGGCACAGAAAGTGTGAAAATCTAGGGGTACGGCTGCGGGCCAGGAATAAACCCCCTGGGTTTTCTTCTTTCATTTATTAGCTGTCCATGCTATCCTGTTGTGTGCACCAGGGGGCTGCTGCAAGAGGCTTTTGAAACACCATCTTGTGGTAGTTTTTAAGTGTCAGTCATTTAAATTTCTTCCCTAATCAGAAGTAGGATCAGAAAGGTGCCATTCTGTTTTACACACAGAGGTAGCTGGCTTTGTGAAGAAGTGAGCAACTCATCTGTCTAGCATCGTGCTAGTTCAAATGAAAGTATTTTGTTAATTGCTTTAAAAATCACTATAATCGGAATTCTCATCTCTCTTGTTGCTGATCTCTTCCTCTTTGTTTTGTAAGCTATGATTATAAGGTCAGGTAAGTGCTTTTAGGAAGTTTCCAAAGAACTTGCAATAGAACTAAACCTTCTGCACTAGAATTCATGATTTCTAAAGCAGGAAAAGTGAGCTGAATTGCTGACAAATGATTCTGAAAAGGCCTGGTTAGCCTCTTGCCCACAGTCTGTTCCCCTCCATAGGCTGAACTCCCCTGCCCCTCATTGCCAGGCAGTGATTAAATCTTTCTGGTTTTATTTCAGATCTTCACCCTGACAGCATGCAAGACAAAAAAGCAGCAGGGAATGTGGCTGCTTCATGGATTTGGACCATCTGAGCCAGTTGTACTCTCTCCGAGGTGTCAGGCATGACACGCATTGATGATGGTGCAATGTACTTTTAATAGGAAAAACTGGTATTTTTTCCTTCAGTGCCTTATGGAAGACTCTGAGACTCACAACAATGCAAACCATCACTGAAATATTCTTGCTTTGCTTCAAAGAAGTAAAAGTAAAAGAAGAGAAGAAAAGGAAAGGAAAGGAAAAAGAAAATAAAAGAAAAAGGAAAATAAAAGGAAAAGGAAAAGAAAAAGGAAAAGAAAAGAACAGAAAAGAAAAAAGAAAAGAAAAGAAAAGAAAAGAAAAGAAAAGAAAAGAAAAGAAAAGAAAAGAAAAGAAAAGAAAAGAAAAGAAAAGAAAAGAAAAGAAAAGAAGAAAAAGAAAAGAAAAAAAGAAAAAACATATGAAAGGGAAAAAGGAAAGGTCCAGTAACAAGATATTGGTATGTGAAAAATAAAAAAATTCTTGTAAAAAAGACCAGTGCAACAAAAGCCATTCTTTGATACCACTGCACAGTAACTGAACTTGTGTCCTGAAAGCAACCGCAGCTGGTTTCATCAGCCACCCCAGTCGTATCAAATTGTGAAACTCCTCCTGACACAAAGCCTCAGAAATCTGCTGCGTGCAAACGTGGACTGGCCTGCCACTGCTTGTATGAGCTGATGTCAAGATGTTTCTGTATTTACTTACAGTGGTGTGATTTTATTTTTTTTTCTGAGCCACTTTAACCTTTCCAGCTAATTTGAGCAATTCTGTATAGCAGCAAAAGGTGTAACACCTGAAGGAAAGAATCCATGCGTTCAAACCAATTAAGGTTTGACTGTGAACCTGTAAATCCAAAAATAATTTGTGGAACTGCATGTCTTGCTTCCAGATTAGTAAATTAATTTCTTGACAAGGTAGCTAAAGTGCAGGCAGAAAATATTGCGTTCCTTTTTTTTGTTCTATCATCAAGCATACCTACAGGTGCTTTATTAATATGTCATTGGGTGGCTTTTAAAATTATTTAAAAAAAAAGGAAGAGCCACTTGCTGTTTAAGTTTAGACCATATATCTCTTTTCTTGCTGTGCATTTGCATTTAAATTCACTGTTTAATATCAAGCAATGAAGCAAGAGAAGGGCAGGTTAGTTTTTCCTAGGCCTGCTTCTGCTTCTCCCCAGTTCTCTCCCACCAAGCACCGTGCTCAGCTAATGCTTCTCAGTAATGGTCCTTGTAAAACAGAAGCAAGGAAAGAGGATAGTAACTCCAGTTAGAACTGCAGTTCCAGAGTAATAGTAAGCAATCTTACATGACTCCTGCTAGTACTGTTATATTATATCAGCTCCTGCCAACTCTTGTTTCATGCCTGGTGAAGGATGCTCCTGTCCCTGCCTCTCTGTGAGGAGGACACCACGCTCCGGCCACCTCTGCTCCAGGACGAGCTCACTATTACTCACATCCAACGTCTTAGACAGCAGCAGCATTCCAGCCTTGAACCTCTGCCTGGAAACTACTTAACTTCATGTCTAAAAAAAAAAATCACAAAAAAAAAAAAAGAAAAAGAAAAAAAAACAACAAAACACAAAACTTTAAACATATTGTCAATCACATGGAAAATGTTTAATGGAATATCTGCATACTAATTACCTCTAATCGACAATATGTATTTTCCGTAGTTTATGATAGAGTTTTATTTCATCAATAACATACAATGAAAAAGAAACTCATTTAAATCAGTCTGACCCTTAGGCGTTTAGTTTGCTGATGATAGATTTGAACTTTTAATAGGATTTAAACACAAAACAAAAAAAACACAAAAAACAACAAAAAAATAAAGTCTTGTTAAAAATATGTATTTCCAACAAAATGTAATATAAAATCATTTTAAAAGCTCATAGGAGAATAATTTATTGTTCAAGTTTTTAACGAGATATTGACAAAAAAATTGTTTTGTTTTCATTTTCTTTTCATTTTTTTCAACTTCTGAACACAATCACATCCCCAGCAAGGGTGAGCTAAAGCTGTGCAGTTATGAGTTGTATTTAAAACAAATGTTTTTCTTAAAAGATGTATAAAAGATGTATGTTTATCAAATCAATTTTTAAGAGTGGAGGCTTCACACCAGTGAAGGGAGTTTGGTAAATGGTTCGATATTTTTTAGACTTGCATGTAAATCTAAAATGTGTTGAGTGCTTACCAATTCTGGCTACCAACTTCAGGCTATCAGAAGTTTGGCAGTAGTGTCATAATGATTTGTTTTGGTATATTTTTTTAATTTGTTTTGCTTCGGGGGCTTTGGGGGTTCTTTCCTTTCTCATTTTTTTCCTCCTC